GGCTTCAGCTGTTGGTGAGCATGCGCAGAGCCTCATCGATGACATCCGAAAGAGGGCAAAGCGTGCGTCGACAAAGAATCACTTGCACTTGAGCCAAAGAAGTAATGCGATTGGCGTTTCTAACTCTTTGGCTACTCCACCACTGCCATCTCCTGGCCTGTTGCGTCGCACGGCAAGCTTGCTTTTCCAGCTGCCACTATTCGGCAATGATGGAAAGGCCGATGCCAGCGAAAAGCCGAACTACTCTTCTCCGGCACCGTCACCCGGTCTGCATAGGGTTGGCTCCCAGAAGATCAAGGCCCCTGAGCTTGCTGAAGCGCCACCAGAACAGAGCGATCCAACAGCTATCCATGCCAATTATCACATTGCCAAAGAGCCTGTCTCCACTGGATTTGAGGATCGTAAGCTGGGCGAAGCACCAGCCATGCCACTGCAAAGTTCTTTCCTAGAGTGGTCTATTGAATACTTCTGCGAGCCTCAGATGAAGCCGAGCGAGTCGGACGAGCCTGGCAGCACTGAGTATAACGAACGGCTCTGGAGAAGATCCCGGAACGATTTCATCTTGACAGAAACGCAACCACTCAAGCAGTTCGCCGGTAGCCATAAGTGGAATAATCAGTTGGGCATCACCAACAATGGCTCGCAACCTGCCAAACTCACCTTCCACCAGTTTGAAGACCAGCTTGCGGTTGCAGACGATGGTAACACGGTGTGCGTTTGGGATTGGAAGAAGCATGCACGGCTGAGCAAGTTTTCCAACGGAAATCCTGAAGGGTCGAGGATCAGTGATATGAAGTTCATCAATGAGGACGACCAGGCATTCCTGATGACTGGTTCGTCAGATGGAGTCCTCAGAATCTACCAAAACTACGATTCCGACAAATCCATCAACCTAGCCTCGTCTTGGCGAGCACTTACACACATGGTGCCCAGTAACGTCAACTCCGGTATGGTGTTCGACTGGCAGCAGTCGCTCGGCCGCGTACTTGTGGCTGGCGATGTGCGTGTCATTCGGGTGTGGTCTGCTGGCGCTGAGAAATGCGTCATTGACATTCCCGCCCGGTCTGGCTCTTGCGTCACGTCTTTGACATCTGACCAGATGACCGGTCACACAGTTGTGGCAGGGTTCGGCGACGGCGCTGTCCGCGTTTTCGACACCCGTATCAGACCCCAGGACTCCATGATCAAGAAGTGGAAAGACGAAACGGATAGGCAATGGATCAAGAGCGTTCATTTGCAGCGCGGCGGACAACGAGAACTGCTCAGCGCAAGCAGAAACGGAAAGGTCAAACTGTGGGATATTCGCATGGATCGACCTCTCCATGTTTACCAAACAACTCGAGACACCCTGCGAACAGCCAGCACGCATGAACATCTGCCGGTGTTTGCTGTGTAAGTTATCACCCTGGGCCTCTTAATATTGTGATATTGAAACTAACATCCCATTGCAGTGGTACATCTGCACATGCCGTGAAGGTCTTCAACTTCGACGGTCAAGAGTTGTCCCGTGTCGAACCGTACTCAAGCTTCCTTCAACAGAACAGGGGCTCTCCCATCGCAGCAACTGCCTTCCACCCGCACAAGCCGATCTTGGCTTGCGCTGCTCGTGGAGACTACCACGTCAACCTCTTTACCTGCGAGAAGTCCGAGCCCCAATCCCTGGTTGCCTAGTTGACAAGCCGGCGGACGTGACCTCGGTCTTGTGGTTTGGTTTTTTTCTTCTTCCTCACATCTTGAGCATAGGAGGGTTTCTTTGCTGCTTGTGTAACTATTTTCTTTTTCTCACTTCTTTTCATTCCGGGACGGTAGCATACTAGGGACTGGCGAGGTTTTGGCGTTCGATTTGGTCGTGTTATGCGACAACGGCAGACAGATGGTTGCATGAGATAACTTAGCTAATGGATGCGGTTGGCTGTTTCGAAAGCCAATTGATGTATGAAAAAAAATGAAAATTGCCCCCAGATTCATACATTGTTTGGACTTGAACGTGACAATGAAGCAAGGACCAGATTAAACGAGGATGGCTACGTCAATCTCATCAGGAGTCAGGTACAAGAGCGATTATTCCCACACGACTTGAACGGGGAGCTGTAATTCTGAGCACACTCCAAGAACGCTAATCTGCTGGTCGAGGAGAGAGTCTTCCATGGAAGTTATACAGTACTTGACCTAGCAGCCGAAAGCTGGGCGATGTGCCCACCTCACATACACATTCCCCCGCGCGTGACCTTGTGGCGCAGGAACAAGTTCACATAGCTGCCTGGTGTGTAACCACCTTTGCACCAGTGAGATCTGCACTCTTGGGCGCAATGGATGGGCGAATTGCAAGGCTTCAGGGAGTTGCAAAAGGGTTAGAGAGTTGGGTTGGTCTTGGTTGCCTTGTGATAGGCTGGTGCATATGCGTCCGTCCCGTGGGTTGGCTTTTCTTGGGTGCATGTGTGGACGTGTCAGGTATTGGCGAGGCTGGCGTTTTCTGTCGGCTCAACAAAAGCCGTGCTGACGACGTTGAGGAGTGTCATCTAGCAATTTGTCGTCTCTTCTTTGCCAGACGTCTTAGATCGAGCGCGTATTCCGACTTTGGTAAAAAGAATAGTATACCAGCAACAGGTAGGCCAGTGGTAGATTCCCTCAAAGGCGGACGAACTTTTACTGAATTTATCTGACCTTTCTGTCTTCCCCTTTCAGCAGTACCGACGATGGTTCGTGAAGTCAATACCAGGCCCGAAATTCGGGAAACGGAGGCGCGGCGGCGCGAGTTGGCTGAGGTTGCTCTCGCGGTGAAGCCTGAGGTGTACGGTTCCGGTGTAGATGCCATGTTGGACAGACAGCTTCAGGAACTTGTGGACAATCGCAAAGCTTCTGGCTCCGGCGAAATCAGCAAGGAGGTTTTGATGGATTGTGAGCTTCGTGAAGCTATCGACCAGGGATGGGTCGACGTTGGCGACGCCACGACCGAAGCGTCTCTCGATACGCAAGGTACAGGAACCGTTGAGCGAGAACCGATCACCGTAAACGCTTCGAGAGCAGAGACCGACCTGGACAGAAAACTACACGAAATCACTGCCCAGGGATCCCTGAGTGAAATACGGGATCTTTTACAACAGGGAGCGAACCCAAACACATTATCCGCCCAAGGAACCCTGCCCCTCTGCGAACACGCCAGGCGCGGAAACATGGACACAGTCAAGTCACTCCTCGACCACGAAGCCGATATCAGCCTATCCGACGCGAGCGGTCGAACGGCAATATCCTACGCCGCGGAAACGACGGACCCGGGCATGGCCCGCTTGCTGATGGCGGTCCCGGGCATAGACGTCAACCTCAAAGACGGGGATCTTCGGGCGCCGGCGTGGTATGCCCTCTGCGCGTGGATCAAGTCTGGTCGGATCTTTGTTCCTGATACGGATACATTGTTTGTGCTTCTTGAGGACGAGAGGGTGAGGGTTGAGGATGTCGACGGGGAGGGGAGGGGGTTGCTGCATCTTGCTGCTGCGGCTGGGGCTGCGGATCTTGTGGAGTTTTTGTGTGGCAGGGGTGATGTCGATGTGAATCGTCGAGATGGGAGGGGACATACTGCTGTTGCGTATGCTTTGGGGTGGAAGGATGTCGGGGTGCTTGGGGTGTTGTTGAAGTATGGTGCTGGGATCACGGTGGTTCAGGGGAAGGGGTTTGAGGTTGTTTCCCCGAGGCGGAGGAGAAGGTGGGTTGAAGGGCGACGGTGCTATGCTCGGATCATAGACTGAATTTGGGATCTTCAATGTCACTGTTGACAATTACTCCAGCTTCAGCTTTTCCTTTTGCGTGTATTCCTTTAAGAAAGGTAGCATGAAAGATAGTGGATCAACATGAGTGTGACAGAATAATCCGGTCACAGAGATGGGAAACCACTAAGGTGCTCTCCCTCACTCCCATAGAGCTTAATGAGAGGAGCCCCTTTCTATAGCTTTGCCAGGCCTCTGGCCCTGCCCGAGGTACGCTCATGGAGAACATGCAGTAGACGCCATACATTTACATAGAGGTTTTGGGAAGCAAGGGCTCATAGTAAGAGCTTTCTTCCAGCTTTGCAGCCCGCAGATCCTTCCTTGAAATCCTCTGACAGAGAACACAGAGGCGCTCTTTTTCGAGTCTGGGTATTTTGTTCTATGAGATCCAGAAGAGATATTCAAGCGAGTGACAATTACGAAAATCTCCCTCGACCTTCCCTATCATCGAGCGTAGTGTCACCTGCAATATTTGATTGCCCTATTGACCTGTACATGTGACAGCAACTCCAAATTACACATCTAAACATAAAATACTCAGTGGCAAATGAAATATGCCCAGCTCGATTGTCCCGTATTCGTCATCGCAAGAAAAACCAGAATACTCAAGTATTGATGTCCGGGCTTGCCCCGGAAACGTTGGCCTCTTGCCAATTTGTCTGAAATCCTACAACAGAGTCCGTAGCCCTCGGCTCTTCATATTGCTTTCTTGATTTCTGTTTCCTTTGTAGGTCTGGTCCCTTCCTTCACCAGGCGTTGTGAAACAGCTGTATGCTCGGTCTTTAGGCGAAGACAGGGCCCAGAGCCGGTTGGGGGATGACATAGGTATCTAAAGTGAATTACTGGTCGACCAGACAGCCACAATGCGTGCGTGAGCCTGCGCCTTCAGAAGGTTATGAAATATCAGGCAGGAATAGGTAAGCGTGTCGACGCCTAATTTGCTGCAGCCGGTCTGGCATAGCCTCTCACACCTATACAGCCACAGAAACGTGGGTTGCAGATAAACCAATCTGATCTCAAACCTCTGTTGGGGAGTATTGCAGCCACTTCGTAGCCTGCATAGCTACATTGACGCGGCTGGAGGTCAACGTTACGCCCAATCAGGTGTGCAGGAATGTTTCCCATTGACATCGCTTCCTTAAGTCTCCTAGTTCCTCCCTCGTCCTCCTTGTCATCCTCGTTCCTTTCTTTGCTCCGATTTCATGCGCCTACGTAAATCTGCGGATAAATTCGTCCAAGATGAGTTTCGGGTTTGGTGTCGGCGATTTCATCGCTGTCATAGACAAGTTGAGACACTGCCACGACAGATTTTCTGAGGCGCCTGAGCTGTTTGTCTCTCTAGTTAGGAAGTATGCTTCCGGAATTTCCTCATCGTCTATCCGTCAGAGAAGTCTTTACTCACAGCCAGTAATAGCGTGGAGATCATCGAACCGCTTCTTGAGGAAGCACATTGCCCACAGCAGAATCTCAATGATGGGGAGAAAAAGATACTGGAGGACATCATTGAAGGTTCCTACAAGGACTTGAAGAGATTGAAACAAATTTTAGACGATTGCCAGGAACTAAAAAAGCCTCTCGAAAAGAAGATATGGGACAAAGCAAAGCTCTTGCAGTTTCTTCAGCGGTTACAAGTCGACCCAAGAGTGATCAACAACATTCAATCGAGTCTGTCCGTCAAGATTGCACTCCTGAACACCCTCAAGAACGCGTCAGATAGGTAAGTGTGAATCCGTGCACTCCTTATCAGTACGGCGGCGGCTGACGACGCTCCACAGTCGAGCCATCCAAAGCACAAAGCAGGCGGTGGATTCAATGTACCATGAGCAAGTCAGTAAACATCGACAGGAAATCTTGGAGTGGCTGACGCCATCCAACTATTCATCACAACAACGAGATTACTTCTCCACAAGGCACCCAGAAACAGCATCCTGGCTACTAGAGTCCAAGGAATTTGAATGGGTAGCAAACAGAGGCCAGACTCTGCTGTGCCATGGGATGCCAGGGGCCGGCAAGACCATCATGACTTCCGTCGTCATAGACCATTTGATACACCGGTTCCGTGAGGAACCGAGGGTCGGGATAGCCTACGTTTACTGCAACTTCAAGGACACCGAACGCCAAGATTGCCACGATCTCTTGTCTGGTCTAGCGAAGCAGCTGGCGCAATTCTGCTCTGCATTCCCTCAAAGTCTTGAGACGCTCTACGACAAACACCAGAAGCGGAAGACCTCAAGATCTACTCAAGAGACCATCGATCTGCTCCAGGTCTTATCCTCCTGCTACGAAAGAACATTCATCGTTGTTGACGCCTTGGATGAGTGTGATAGAAACGCTAGACAAGCTTTTCTTCCAGAAATCCTCCGGCTACAACAAAGATCCCAAGTCAATATTTTTGCAACCACCAGAGAAATTCCTGAGATCTTGGAGTCGAAGGAATTTGAGAATTCTATCTCTGTAGAAATCAGGGCTGTTCAGGAGGACGTACTAAGATACACGTCAGATCGTATGACCCGCATGCAGAGCTTTGTACGCAACAACCTTGATTTACAGAAGGAAATCAGACACACCATTGCAGAAAAGGTTAACGGAATGTAAGTTTCCAAGCTCTACCTCTGTATCTACCGTCATGAAAATGGTGCTGACGCACATAGGTTCCTGTTGGCGAGACTGCTCATCGATGCTTGGTCTAACAAGCTGAGCCCGAAGGAGCTCAAGAAGGCACTCAAAGTCTTTGGAGAAACGAGTGAAAAGGCAAACATCTACTCAGCCGTATACGATGAGGCCATGAATCGGATTAGGTCTCAACCCTCCGAGCACGTTGAGCTCGCGCTGAACGTTCTCTCTTGGACAACAGGCGCCAAGAGGCCTCTTAAAATCAAAGAGCTGCAGCATGCCCTCGCCGTCGAAGAGGGAGAAATGGAGATAGACCAGGACAATATTGTACCAGTCGAAACCATGATCTCTGTATGTGCTGGGCTTGTAACAGTCAGTGAGCGGAGTGGTGGCGTGATACAACTTGTTCACCAAACAACACAAGAGTACTTCGAGAGGAAAAGACACCAGTTTTTCCCAGAAACTGACCCTCGAATCGCAATGGCATGTACCAATTATCTTTCCATCAAGAATATTTTCAAGCGTCCCGGATACTACGGCCCCTCCGAAAACGAGTTAAAGTTCCCTTTCGAAGAGGAAGATGAGCAACGTCGCAGATACACGTCCGCTCCATTCTTCGACTATGCAACTCTATACTGGGGGGAACACACACGAGAGAGCCCAATTATTCCGACAGAAGTAGTTGGATTTCTTCGCAACCAAGACGCACGTAACAGATCCGCTTTGGTGCTAAGACGACTACGTCAGATGCTATTTATCCCTGGCACGCCAGCACAAGTGGCAGCATATTTCGGGATTCTCCAATTATTTACCAACAATACTCTCCCAGAAAGCGACATGTACTCAGCTGACGAAAGTGGTAGAACCGCGTTGTGGTGGGCTGCCTTTGGAAATCGGCTGGATATTGTCAAGTTTTACCTCGACAGCGACGCCATCGAGCACACCCCACTTGAGTCAAATTCACCACGCACGACAGTTCTTCGGAGGACGGTCTCGATTCAATCCCTTGGTCAATGCATCAAAGTGGCCATAGAAGAAAGACATGCGGCTGTGCTAGAGGCTTTTATCAGGTTCTCCACGGAGAAGGGAGTGGATACTGGAGCCCGAGACTACGAGGGCAAAACCCCGGTATACTGGGCCATCTTCTTTGAAAATGCCCCTGCGCTTAATTTTCTCTTAGAAAGGAATGTTGAGGCAAAGGACGAATCAAATGGGAGGGAGCGCCCTTTACTACAGGCTATTAGCAGGAGAAGCACGGCGATTGCGGAGGTTATTCTTGACCATAATGCCGACATTAACGCTACAGACAAGAACGGACGAACTGCATTATCATGGGCTGCAGGTCGCGGTAATCTCGCGGCTGTGCAGCTTCTCTTGCAGAGAGGCACCAAGGTTGATGTCCCTGATGAAAGCGGTCGAACTCCCTTGGCTTGGGCATGCGCAGCGGAAGACACAAATGACCAAATCATCCGGACTCTTCTGGCACACGGCGCCAGCCCAGACATTGGGGGCAGCGCCGGTGCTATATGGCTTTACGCTCGTCGCGAATTTGGTCTTGCCATCATTGATATGTTCTGTCAAAATGGTTTCGACCTGTGCTCCAAAGACGCCTGGGGGAGAACGTTGCTGTCTTATGCTGCGGAACATGGATCTGCGGAAGGTTTCAAGATGATCCTAGAGTCGACAAATCTGAACTTGAACTCGAAGGACGACCACGGACGAACGGTTTTGTGGTATGCAGTGACGGGAGCTCCTGGGCGCAGACCCAACACAGAGGTTGTCGGAATGATATTGGATGACCCCAAAGTCGACCATAATTGCATTAACGGGCAAGAAGCTCTGATCCAGACGATCCATCAGAATTCCGTGGAGCTTTTTCAATTTCTGGTCACTCGCGAGGATGTGAGTGTCTATGGGGAGTTCAATGGAAAGAGTCCTATGCTGTGCGCAGCTGAGATAGGAAATTTGTCGATTTTCATGAGACTCAAAGAGTGTGGTGCTGTGTGGGGCCAGAATCAATGTAGGAACGTGGAAAAACTGTCAATCAATTTGTGGAGATTTAAGGAAATTGACAAAAAAAAGAGAATCTTCAAGTGGTCTTATCACAAAGGTCAGCTGTTGTAAAATCGAGATAGCCTTGTCTTTCATTAGCCACGTCCCACAGAAGAGGCTTGTGGTCCTGGTTTCTCTGACAGAATGGCGAATGGTTCATCATGAAGCGCAAGTACAACGAGGTCCCCATGAAATCATCTCGATTTGTGCCCTTGATGTGATTCATAATTCATTCGTGTTTATTACCATCTACACACAACCTTAGAAGTTCTTTCCAAAGAACTCGAGAACTGTCTTGTATCCACGAGTGTACTCCTCCTTAACTCTGGAATCTTCCAGGTCAGAACGAGCAGCCATCCATCCGTGAATCTGGTCCTTGAAAGTCTCAACGTGCTTAGTCACGTTGAGGTTGGCCTCGAACTTCTTGACATCCTCCTCGGGCTCGTCCTTGGAAGCGAGCATAATGAGCGGAATCTTGATGCCCTTGGCATCCTCGGGCTCGACCATAGCAGGATGGACCTCGGCGGCGACCTTAAAGGGGTTCTTGTCACCCGAGGTCACGAGTGAAACGACCTTCCCGCCCCAGCAGTACTGCGATTTTGTAAGCGTCTACCCAATTACTCTGTACTGAGGTAGGCTTGAGAAACACTTACGCCAATGGTAGCAAAAGACTCAATGGATGAGTACTTTGACTGGATGGCCTTGACGTAGTCCGGGGTCTGCTCGGCAATCTTGGGAGGCGGGAACTTCTGGAAGAAACCGCCGAGGTTCTTCTGCTTCTCCTCGGTGTCGGGGGGGAACCACTCGATGGGGCAGGGCTCGCCAGCGAACCAGTCCGGGATGAATACGCGGTACTTCTCGGCGCCGCTGGTGGCCAGGATATCGGCTCCTTGAAGCGTCTGGGGGAAGAATCCAAAGATATCGAAAGTGACGACGATGGCCTTCTTTGCGTCGGCGGGACCGGTGACGTCTGTAGTGGTAATTCAGTTAGCACTGTAACGCATTGGCTAGGTAGGTAGACCTGGCAGCTGACTCACAGGTCTTCTTTGATCCAATCTCTTCATAGCTGCCCTTGGCATCGTAGCCCTTGGAGACGACAGGAGGGATATTGCAGCATCCCTCGCTGTGGCCGTGCTGAGCAGGCATAGTCGACATCTTGGCGGCTTGTGTCGAGAACGACTTGTGAAATTGCTGTGTAAGGGGTGTCGATATGGTGGTTGAGCTGTAGCAAGTCGCAAAGCTCTTTGGTGTTGTTGTGGTTGTTGGTCGGGAAGCTATCGCAGGGGTGGGGGAGTGAGGTTGTTTGGGAATCCGGGACGACGATCTGGATAAAGCTTGGGAAGCGGAGCGCGCGGCTTTGGCAGTGTGGGAAGACATCGGATTTATTATGCTTCAAACGTCAAGTGGAGGTACTAATATGTACGTTGCGGGTGCGGGCTCCTCGAAGTGGAGAGTCAATGACGGATTAAGCTGCGTTTTGGCGGGGTTAAGAGCTCCTCCGTTTCGCTGACGTTTGCAGTACAGACGAAGCTAACGGAAGCTTTCTGCGCCCCTTCTGTTTGGACGATTTCATTGTTCGCGATTGGCAAGAGAGGGGGGAGCCGCGGTCCTCGATTGTCTCCATGGAGGGGTAGCAATGAGGGCCCCATCAGGAGCTTGGGACTTCCAAGTGGGAGGGGGGTTTCGTGGGGGTGATGTCACCACTTGCTTCAATGAAAATCAATTCGGCAAAAGGGTCGACCCCGCCAAGGGTGGGTATGATCGGCCCCACTAGTCGAAGAATGCCGGCGCCGGTCCCGAGTTCGACCGGCCGGCATCGGCAGTCACGGTCGACCCGAGACACGAATTGCGCCTGCTAGTCAAGAAAGACTCGCTAAGGTAAAGCTTCATGCAGCTAGTCATCTAAACCTTCTCGGTCAACCATGTTGTCTCTATTCTTTCTGTCTTTCCTCGATTCCATTACGGTGAATGAATCGTACTCATGAAACCGAGAGACGCCAAGGGACGGCACGACGAGACATACACGCGGTGAAGTGACAGTAAACCAATCATGAAACGGGCTGAAATGCAATTGAACCAAATAACTCTCAACGATTCTCAACTGCACATCTCTATTCCATCAGATGTCTTGACGACAGGGAAGCGGCCGCGGGCAGCGGTGGGCTGGACCGCCGCAGCCCTGCATCCACCGCCGCCCACCCCGCCCTGCAAGACCCAGCGTTCTGGTTTGTCAGATTGAAATTTCTTCCCATGAATCGATCGCAAGTTAGGGGTAAGTATGTCGCCGGGGAGACTTGGATAATGCATCCGAGATGGATGGGAAGCCCCTGTCACCGCCAAGCTGTCAGACTCCTGCTGCGTTCGGGAGTTGGTCCGCGGTCGTGATACCGTTTCCTCATGTTTTCTCTTTTCTTCCACTTAGACTCCTTCTTCTTCGCAGACAACGGGTCGGGAAGCCCTTGGGGTGAACCTCCAGACATTGGGCTGGTAGCTCTCATGAGCTCATCAGGCTAATTTGCTGAGATTCATCAAAATGGCCGGAACAAACAGACTTCAATCAAAAGTTAATTCCTGTGAACAATCTAGCCTAATTCCATTGTCTTCTTGACTTTTTCCCAAACCCAGAGAAAGTAGAAGATTCCGACAATGCCAACACCGTATGCCTGCGCGTCGTGTTCAAGTCAAATTACCCCACGCGAATCCTGCCTCCCGTTTTCCAATGGCCAACGCCCAACTTTGCCTGATCCAATAGAAACACAAAGCGCCCCCTAAAATCAGATATCATACCCCGATTTTCTCAAATCCTCCAGAGCCTTGGTGACGACCATGCCATCCTCCTTGAAAGCCAACTTGTCCGCAGCTTCATCAACATCGACCCAGCTCACGTCAAACTTGACTCTGTCCTCCCCCGTCCAGCCCTCGGGTCCAAGATCACAATTCCCCTCCGCAACAAAGTAAAACACCATTTTCATAGCGCCAGTAGCCGGGTCAGGGTAGTGACACACAGCGATCGGTTCCGTGTCAGTGATCTCCTCAGACACCTCCGGGGCACCGGAGGGTCCACCCGCAGGCGTGGCTCTCGTGCTGAGTCTCAAGGTGACGGGCTTCACCGTAACGCCCGTCTCCTCGCGCGTTTCGCGCAGCGCTGCTGCAAGAAGGTCTTCGCCGATATCTTTCCGCCCCTTGGGCATCTGGTAGATAGCGTGTCTCTTGTTATAGATCAGCAGCACGCGCCGTGCCCGCATGTCGATTGTGACGGTGCCGCAGCTGATGATGAACTTGTTTGAAGGGTAGAACTTGCGGCCGCGTGCCATTTCTGAAATGCTTGATGCGTACATCTGGGGCTCTTCCGGTAGAGCGGAGGGTGCCATTTTGTTCCAACTTGGAGGGATGAATAGGCTATGAGAGGGTTTGATATGATATGAGCTGAAGTGAGAGACAAATTGATAGTGTGAGAATGATGAATGAAGGTAGCTGATGGTATGTACCCTCGGCCTGAAAAGAGATGAAGCTGTCTGGTTTTGGGATGGCTTGTTTTCAGAACAAAGAACTCTCCTCGGCAACTGCCTTTAGTCTGGGTCGAAAGAAACCAAATCGAGCCAATTCACCGACTAGGGCTTCCCTCTTCATATACCCGCCCTTGATCTTATGGCGGTGAACCGTATCACGAGAGCCTGCTGGCAAGAAGGCTCACTTGAGCTGTCGGTCTGTCTCCATCCAGCCCCTCGGCGTCGACGTCTCTTCCAAGCCTCCGGGGACCATCCAACATCATTTTTCACTGACCGGTTCTGTTTCATGCAGTAGCACATCGCCATCCCCGAGCCAAGGCTTAAGACAGAGACATTGACAAACAAGAAAGAAAGGAGACCGCCTTCAAAAGGGTGCCAGAAAGGCAATCCTGCTGCGCCCGCCGCAGCCGGCATCAAGACACTCACTCCACTATCCGGGTCCCATATCCGTACTAGTAGCCCTAAAGAAGACTGAAAAAAAGATTGAAAAGAACAAACTGCAGGGCCTAGCCCGGTGAGCGCATACCGGTGAAGCATGGGTTGGCGATCGGTGAGACTGGGGTGTGAGTGTACCGCATGGGTTGCCCACAAATCGCGGTCTGCCCTGGGAGAGAAGGTAAAAGTGAAGGGTGCCTTGTTTGGGAATAAGAGAGGCATGATGCACACCACGTGGGTGAGAAGAAACGGAAGGAAATATGATCAGTCATCTCTGGCCGGGTGGTGAGATATTCGGCATGAAAACAACAAGCGAATGAGATCGGCTCCTTGCTGCCGTGGCCGGAGACTCTTTTTTTGGCTGGGCAGGTTTAGTCGCGTGTCACCATAACACCATCTATTCCATACTTCAACCTCGGCCAGACCCCATCCGGTGATGTCAGGTACTTTCCTGCTTCTCGAAGCCAGTAGAACACGCGATGTAAAAAGTTTCTGAAAGAAATTGATCAGCACGTCTCGTGTAGAACACTCAAGACCCGTTATAAACGTCACACGAATATGAGCACGTGGACGGTTGTAGCTGTGGCCACGTTCGTTTTTGCTGACGATTGATCTGCAAGACTTGTGGAGAGGTGTCATGAAATGCGTAGACATGGGGATATGTGAGTGATGTGTTGAAGAGGCAACGAAAAGGGGAAGAACCAAAGGCTGGCTGTGCAACACGTCCGGGGCTTTCACCGCCGGCGTTCGGCAAGGGTTTGGCCGGTGGGTCTCCGGAGAGAGCTCCGTGCGATTGGCTCTTTCCCGATCTGTTGCAGAAACCTTCTCCGTATGCTGCCAAATCTGTCTCTGTTTGGCAGTCTGCTCCGGTCGGGGAGTTTCCTTTCGTGAAAGATGCGAGTTTTGCGAATATGAGTGGGAAAATTCACCGTCTGCCAAACTGCCATCTTCCTTCCAGGGCCCCGAATAAAGTTCTCCACTACGCCGTTGAGTGCAACGGCGGGAATGCATGCAAGGCACCCGGATGAACCTAGAACCTCGTCAACCAGCTTAGGCACTTAATAAAACGTAAGCTATTGCAAGTGAGATGGGCTTGATGGCTCGTTTATGGTCTTTTTTATCGGCAATCGGTCATCGGTCAACATACGTTCTTGCTATAAGGCGGATGAATGATGAAGAATACTTACCAACTGCTACCGAGCATATCGCCAAACTTAGGGCACACTTCATAGAGGGCTGTCGATTTTCACAAAGAAATGATAGTAAATGGCTTGTTTTGCGCTCCCTTTTCTAAATGACCAAAATCTACCTTCTTTACATTCGGAACACGCCAAACTTGGTATCACCAGCCTTGACTTCATTCCGGCCTGACATGGCTGCTCTAAGGCCTAGACCCAAATATTTACGGGTATGCTGGGGAGGAATAATGCCGTCGTCCTATGAGCATGGTTAGCAAAAAGTGTATGACGTGTAAGTGGTAATGACTGACCCATAATCTGGCTGACGAGTACGTTGCGTCGCTTTCCCGTTCTATCCTCTCCTTTAACTCGGGATCGGCCTTGCCAACAGTCTCCATAACAGCAGCCAGCTGCTCACCGCCCATGACACCAATGCGTGAGTTCGGCCACATCCACAGGAAACGGGGGCTGTAAGCTCGCCCGCACATGCCGTAGTTTCCGGCACCATAGCTACCTCCGACAACGACGGTAAACTTGGGAACATCGGCGCATGCTACAGCAGTGACAAGCTTTGCGCCATGCTTGGCGATGCCACCGCGCTCGGCGGCGGAGCCGACCATGAAGCCGGAGATGTTCTGGAGGAAGACTAGCGGAATTCCTCGTTGAGCACACAGCTCAATGAAGTGTGCGCCCTTCACAGAAGATTCGGCAAATAAGATTCCATCGTTGGCTACAATACCAACCTTGTAGCCATGAATATGAGCAAATCCGGTGACCAAGGTTGAACCGAAGTCGCGCTTGAACTCGGAGAATTCGGAGCCGTCGACAATGCGAGCAATAACCTCCTTGATGGGCAAGGGCTTCCGGAGGTTGGTACTGGCGATACCCAGAAGCTCGTCCGGCGAGTATAGAGGCTCAGCATAATCCTTCACGGGTGCTGCTGTTGAAGGTGATTTTGTAGGCCAGTTCAGGTTGCTGATGCTCCGCCTCGCAAGTGTAATGGCATGGGCATCGTCGACTGCCAAGTAGTCTGTTACTCCTGAGACAGAGGAGTGCATCTTGCCGCCGCCCAGCTCCTCCGCACTAATCACCTCGCCAGTGGCAGCCTTGACTAGCGGCGGACCAGCGAGGAAAATGTGGCCCTGGTTCTCAACGATGATGCTCTCATCGCTCATTGCCGGCACATAGGCACCGCCCGCAGTGCACGGGCCCATTACGACCGAAATCTGGGGAATCCCCATGGAGCTCATCCTTGCTTGGTTGTAGAAGATGCGCCCAAAGTGGTCGCGATCCGGAAACACGTCCGCCTGATGTGGGAGGTTGGCGCCGCCGCTATCGACCATGTAGATACAACTGTGTCATTGTCAGTATTAGTAAAATTGGCCGCGGCGTGTAAATCATGGGGTTCCTACGGCAGCTTGTTCTCCTGAGCAACGGCTTGTGCTCTCAGATGCTTCTTGACGGTAATTGGGTAGTACGTTCCGCCCTTTACTGTGCTGTCGTTCGCCACGATCACACACGTAACGCCCTCGACAACACCAACACCCGTTATGATGCCTCCCGCGGGTACATCAGCCTCGGGGTAAAGCTCATGGGCGGCCAGCGGCGACAACTCCAAGAAGGTCGTGCCAGGGTCGATCAATGCAGTGACTCGGTCGCGCGGCAGCATCTTCTTCCTCGCCAGGTGCTTTTCCCTCGCCTTTGCTGAGCCACCCAAGTGCACCTTGCGTGTCAAGTCCTGCATCTTCTTCATCACCTCCCCCATGTGCTTCTCATTCTCCTTATACTCTTCGGATGTTGGATCGACATTGGTCTGGATTCGGGAGATGGCGCTCGCCTGGTGCGGCGGCGTGAAGGTCGCAACGGTACGGGCGGATCGCGGGAGGCGGGGTGCCCTAAACCCCGGCCGGGTCAATTGACGCGACAGAAGCAGCACATCTCTCGATGACCGTGAGAAAGACATATTTTGGACGTTTACAAAGGAAGATCCAAAGGGTGCGGCAGTTTGAGAGTATGAAGGAGGAGCACTACATGTGCCGACGAAGCCCTTGAAGACGGGAAGGAGAGGTTCGAGGGCCGCTCGCTTGCTGACGGTATACCATTCCAGTGACGTCCAATCGCTCACCTCGGCCCGCTGAAAGCCGCCCGTAGCCGAGCACCTTCTTGTCCCGGTTGGACCTCCAGCTCGGCATCAAGCTAAGGTAACTTGGATCATCAATCGTAGGAGAAGTTATTGTTCTTCATTTCCTCTCTTTCAACTTATTTCATTCTCGATTTCGTTGCACATCCTACAGCCATGTCAAGTGTTAGAGCATTCAGATCGTTGGCGCGGCCAGCGCGTCAATTGCGACCCGTCGCTGCCCCCGCCCTCCAGATCCGACACCACTCCTCTAAGCATCCCAAGGGGTTTGAAGCACCGTCACAAGCCGATCTTACCGAGCTGCGCGAGCGCGTACAGGAGTTCACAAGGCGCGAGATCACAGAGGAAGTTGCCGCGAACACGGACAAGAGCAATGCCTTCCCCAATGAGATGTGGCAAAAGCTGGGCGAGGCGGGTTTCCTGGGCATGACTGCCGATGAAGACGTTGGTGGTCTGGCCATGGGCTACCAGGCGCATTGCGTCGTCATGGAAGAGATCTCGCGTGCTTCTGGCTCAATTGGTCTCAGCTATGCCGCCCACTCCCAACTATGCGTCAACCAGCTCCAGCTCAACGGTTCTCCGGAGCAGAAGCAGAAGTACCTTCCCGGTCTGATTGCCGGCACGAGCGTCGGCGCGCTCGCAATGTCTGAGTCTGGCGCCGGCAGCGATGTTGTGAGCATGAGGACGACAGCGACGGCCGTCGATGGTGGCTACGTTCTGAACGGCTCCAAGATGTGGATCACCAACGGTCCCGACGCCGACGTCATCGTCGTTTACGCAAAGACGGAGCCCGAGAAGGGCTCCAAGGGCGTCACGGCGTTCCTCGTTGAGACCAAGACCAAGGGCTTCAGCTGCGCGAGGAAGCTCGACAAGATGGGTATGCGCGGAAGCAACACCGGAGAGCTCAACTTTGACTCCGTCTTCGTGCCCAAGGAGAACATTCTCGGCAAGATCAACGGTGGTGTGAGAGTTCTGATGGAGGGTTTGGACCTGGAGCGTCTCGTTCTTAGCGCCGGACCTCTGGGCATCATGCAGGCCGCGCTGGACGTCGCTCTGCCCTTTACCCACCAGCGGAAGCAGTTCGGCATCCCTATCGCTCAGAACCAGTTCATCCAGGGCAAGCTGGCAGACATGTACACGAAGCTCCAAGCCTCCCGTGCATACACATACGCCACGGCCAAGGCTGTTGACGAGGAGGGGATCATCAAGACACAGGACTGCGCCGGCGCCATCTTGTATGCTGCCGAGAGGGCGACAGAGTGCACTCTGGACAGTATCCAGCTTCTTGGCGGCATGGGCTATGTCGAGGAAATGCCAGCTTCGAGGCTGTTGAGAGAGTAAGTCAAGCCCAAAGTCCCTCCGGCTCTTCTGTTCTAACTGTCATCAGTGCGAAATTGTATGAGATTGGTGCCGGAACTTCGGAAATCCGGAGAATGGTCATTGGAAGGGCATTCAACAAGGAATATGCCCACCTGGGGTGATTAACATACATGTAGCATGGATATAAAGAACAACGAGCGAGCCACTTTGGGATCTCAGGAGCAAAGAATCAAGACGGGACCTTTGATGTCACCGCAAAAGCATGTAGAATTCCAATGGTAAATTTCTTCTATTAGGTTGCCACCACAGAGAATCGGGAAGTAACAAGTTCACAGTCTGGAGGTATTTGTGTTGCAAAAAATTGTCTCCATCTGGCTTCTTCCTCTACATCCAAATCTACATCTCCATTCCTGTCTTTTGAGTGTTCGTCTGTCACTTCGCAGTGACATCACTCTGTGAATCATGGACCTACGAACTAGTTGTCTTTCTTGAAAAAGGCAGCGTTCAGGTCAATGCCTTTGGAGTATCCCACCAGCATGTTGGATCCTTGGCCTTCAACGTTGCCAAGCTGGGCATTCAGGTCCCCGTCAGTCCCGTCCGCGCCGTGGATTCCGATGACGGCCTGCGACTGCAAGACCTTGACTTTGTCCACCACCAACTTGCTTCGTCTCTCATTGACCTGGACAAACAGGGATGCTTGAAGCTCCTCGTACCCCTTGATCAAGTCCCTCGACTTCTGGAGCTTGGTTTCGGAGTGTACATCTCCACTGTTGACCTCAATTCGTTCCACGATAGCTTGAAGGTACTTGGTCTGCTCAATAGATGCCAAACTGCGAGGGAAATCAGATATGCTATCAAAACTGAATGATCGTGATAAATTACTCACAAGTTGGCGCCGGCTAAAGCCAAGTCAACAGTCTGCTTGCAAACTCTGAGCTCGTCCACGAAAATCTGGAGCTTGTCTTTGCCAAATAGTCCGATGTTCACTCTGTCCATCAATTGAACGCATCCGTCTTTCGAGCGCTTGAGAAGCTTGTCCACCTCGTTGTCCAAGGCACAACATGAGGCGCCGCAGGCCGTGAGGGCGGATTGCACGTTGGTGTCTGCGGCAACGGACAGTACTTCGGTGTCATTTGACTTGACCGAGATCTCGAGGCGCTCCATCAGATTCTGGATAAGTTGCAACTCCTTTTTGATGTTGGCGATGAGCTCAGGGGCTCGCGTGATTTTGTCAATCTTCTCTCTCGCTCCCCTGATGCCCTGCAAAGTTGTGGCTGTCAAGGCGACGACGGCACTTGAGGTTGCGAGGACTTCAGCCATGTTTGAGCTATCTTGCAGTGTATTCGGATCCACTGATAGTGATTTGTGATAGTGATGAGGAGATACAGAAGTGAAGCCTCTAGATTCTAGACGGCGGCGGTGTCATCCCCTTTTGATTGCCAGCTCCCAGAAAACAGGCAGGCAGATACCTCGATTTTGGACTGTGCCAAAGGGGCAACACTGTTTCTTTGGCTCAAGAAGAGGTGCATTGAATCACCTGATTACATCTTGCATCATAGATGCCTTACTGGTCTTTGGTAATCCCGCATAAGAAAGCCCTAGAGCAGATGGACCGTCTGCCTGTGGGACCCCAGTGTTCCGGTCATGGGATCCTTCACCTTTACCTTCACTATTCTTTCTTCCCAACTTCCCAAAGATTTCTCAGCAAATTCTGCCACAAAGGGGCTGAAATCCCTTCCGCGTTTTGCCTCGACTCGATCCTGCTCGCGTTGGCCCTCATCCTCGCCATCCAGACCATCATCGCCTAGCATGTCGATATCAATTGGCGATATTCATGTTGGCAGCGGTTCAACTCTTGTCGCTGGAATGAATCATGTCAATTCAGGTTGATTCTTATCCGTTTCTTTGCTCATTACAGGAATCGATATGCTGACAATTTCGCTAACAGGAGCGGATATGGAAGATAATCTGACAAGATGCATCGACGCTCTCTTCATCGCAGATCCTGAAGTGGACCTGGAGGAATTGATCGAATCAAAAGGCGGATTCGTTGAAGGAACGTGTAGATGGGTCCGATCTGAGGAAAGTTACAGATCTTGGTTGGAATCCAAGCAGTCGGCGATACTCTGTATATCCGGTCTTCCCGGTACAGGAAAGACGATGCTCTCCTATTTCATCACCAAAGAACTCGAAAAGCTCACGCAGAGTATACCAGGGGACGTACTGTTCTACTTTTACAACCCTCAGTACCCCGAGAAGAACACGACGACATCAATTCTTAGGACCTGGCTTCATGAAATCTTCACCAACCATCGAACTGTTGCTAAATATGCTGTCAAGCGCATGACCCCAAGGAGAACCGAGAACACCTTGAAATCACGCAGCACGCTCTGGGCTATTTTTACTGCTACAATAAAGGATCCCGAACTGGGTCCGGTGTATTGTGTTCTGGATGGGCTCAACGACTTTCCTCCAGACGAGCGTAGATGGCTTGTCAGCAGTTTTCAGGCGCAGTTCGGAAGATCATCTGGAGCTCAGGTTCAACCAGAAACTCTCAACACTTTCAAACTCATCATATCCAGCGCTGCCAATGAAGGTTTCCATGAATGCCTTCATCTGACTTCGACGCTTGACAAGAAAGACCCCAAAAATGATCTCAAATGTGTCATCAAGGCCAGACTTGCGCGCCATCGACACTGGGGAATTCTCGACAAGGAATCTCAAGATGCATTGGCTGGTGAACTCAGTCTTCGTTCCGAAGGACTTTTTTCATGGGTTGATTTCATGCTTGAGGATCTTTATCCAGAGAAGACACTTTCGGCAATGATGAAGAAGATGGATCAAATACCATGTGGTCTTCGCCACGTATTTTTGCGCCTCCTTGTGCAGATTGACGATAAGTCCCGCCGCGAGACCGCCAAGATCCTTCAATGGGTTGCTTTACTCCGAAGACCTGTCACAGTGGCTGAATTGACAGACCTTATCCACCCCGACGCTGAAGAGCCTGAAGAAGAACGCCAAAGAATACAAGATCTCGTCAGCGAATCCTATCCACTGATGAGGATCACGAAAGCGGGCTGGGATTATGAGGAACGTGAAGCTGAAGAGGACATAATTCTTCCTCTACATCGGTCAATTGCTGATTACATGACCAATATCGACATGGATTCAGCCATCAAAGATTTCTACTTCAAGCCAGAGAAAACACACTACGAAATTGCCAAAATATGCCTCGATGAGCTCCAAATTTGGTTCAAACGTGCCGAAGAGACGGAATCTATTATCGAAGTTGGCTATTCCTCTATTTCTTGCCACACTAGATGGCTTAGATATGCGAGAGACTACTGGTCATGGCATACGAGAGGAAGTGGCGAGGAGTCCCTCCATTTCTTGGTAGCCGACAGCATCTTCTTCCATGAGGAATCGCTATTTCGTACTGTTTGGTGGTACGAGCACAAGAACAATGCTCGCTATCGCAGAGGTACTTCCGTCAACCAACATTCTTCACATCTGCTCAGGGTTGGGCTTCCTTCAAATAGTCCGGACGCTGCTAGAAAAGCATCCAGACGCCGCATCTTACGTCAACGAAGAGGAGGAGGACGGCGACACACCTCTCTCATATGCTACACGTTATAACCATAGCGATGTTGCCGAGCTGCTCGTTCGCTATGGTGCTCACGTCATGAGGCAAATAAACGAGATATATTGGAACAATCTTGAGTATGCATTTCACATTCCAGTTATCAATGCTTTCGCCAACGCCAATGTACGGCTGGCTAGATTCCTAATCAAGCCTACCTGCGCTCAGATGGACGATCCATCTCGGAAAGTTATGCTGGGCATCTACCTGATTTGCGAGAAAGCCTGCGTATCCAAAGGCACCAAGAGCAGACAGCTCGCTGAGTTAGTATTGGACCACATCGAGATCAACATCACCGAAATGAAGGAAATGTTCAGTTTGGCACCGTGGAGAAGATCGGTATGTGGTCATCCGTGGGAACGAGACAACTTGGACGTTCCGGACTTGATCATCTCTCGACTTTTGCGTTCTGATCGCAGAGTTCTCCGCGATGTTCACATCTTTCCCAGTGCTGTTGGATATGCTGCTCGACATCCCAGCATTGGCGCTGAGCTGTTGCGTGCCTGTCTCATTCCCGACATCAAGGACGTATTTTCTTCTGAGTCTAAGGCTAAGACGACACTACATCCTATTGTGGTAGACAGTTTGGAAAGACTTTACGATTCCTCCTACGAATTTGGCTACGAGAATGAGGCCATTGACACTGCCTTGTTCAGGGGCAGCTTCGAAGTGGTGTCTATGCTTATCAAAGCTGGCAGTAAGGTGGCAGACCCTAGAAAGAGTTCGCTGGTCTTGAGGATATCAGAGAAGGTTCTCGAACTTTCAGACTCAAACTTCAACCTTGCTGTTGCACAAGGCATTTGCAAGCGTCCGCTGTTGACGGACGAGGACATCAATGCTAGGGTCACGTTTTGGCGGCACGAAGAGTCTGACAATTTCACGTTGTTGGACCTTTACCTCAGAGGCTTGCTTTTTGCAAAGACAGCCAGATTTGCTCTATTCCTCATGCAACATGGAGCACGTTGCAGCGACGAGGAGGACTCGCAACGCTTACTGCTGTACCTAGCTCCGTTGGCTCGAGGCGTGGTGACTGACGACGATTGGGACTGGTTTGTTCGTGCTTTTGAAGGGGATGAGCACGGCCGATGCTATTATTGATGATGCCTTGACCAGGGTTTATCCCCCATAGAGAATACCCTTATGTATTGACGATTCTACTCCGCATATCGTGCAGAGAAGTATTCAATAACTTACACGGCAGGTGCAAGCGGAGAGCCGAGTTCGGCGATCCAGTGTTGACAAGTAGTAGTCTAGAGACTGGGGTTAGGAGCCGGTGGCCCGACGGGGGTAGCATGGCGAGCAGTGATGTCCGGACTATCGGTCAGTCAGTCAGCCTCGATGCAGAGGACCTCGTGTTCAGCAGAGAATTAAAAGAAACAAAGTGGGTAAACAAAATGTCAGGCTAAGCCAACAGAATGGCCGTCCCAATCAACGTGATAATGTAACGGTGTTACAGGCTGCATGATCGAGGCGGTCTCCGAACCGGAGGTCAGGATTTCTCTGTCTGGTCTGCGTCTGAGGTCTGAGGTGTGTGAGACTGAGTGTGTGTCTGTGAGGATGAACACCGGTGGCCAGACCGTTGGCCAGTCCTAATCTCATGGCATTCTAGAATCTCATCCCGTGCAGGGAAAATTGGAGTAAAATGTGGAGAATGGCGTTCGAGAGATGCCCAATGTTTTGCCCCCAAGGACCCCCAAAACCTCCGGAAGTTTCTTGAGAGGAGGAAAAAAAAGTTGGAGCTTCTCGCATTTCTTGGCCCGGTTGGGTCACAAGCTCTGTCAAGATTTCTCGTTGTTTCTTTCCCTGACTCCACAGGGTCCCTTTCGGGACACGAGGGACACGGGGAGCTCGGAATGATGAGCAGGAGACATGGAGACCTTGTCAAGGGTTTAAGGGGTTTCCGTCTTGTTTCTCTCATCTCATGTTCTGCTCGTGGTTGGCATTCTAGTCAGGGACTTTTCATAAAGATTTCATACACATCGCATATTCATGCATAAGGCCTTACACTCACAGCATCTACACTGTTATTGTCTATATGTATCATTGAGACTGCATAGTATATAAGTCTAGCCTTAAGCTTACACGGTACCATACTACCCATCATCGAATGCGCTGCAACGTCCAGTGTCGGTGGTAGTTCAGAGGCAAACAAAATCAGGGACTTACCCGTCTGGCCTGGTAGCCGGCAGCCGGGCATGCCGGGATGGAGGAGCCAGTCCACCTAGAAGAGGGCCATTTGGGGGCAATGGCCCACCCCCGCCCCGGGGTTGTGGTTCTAGTGTGGGCGGTGGGCGCGGTGGGTGGCATGGAGCGATCCTTATTTTGGCCCATGGGTGTCCGCTCGGGCTCCTTGAGTCCAGCCCTAGTTCCGGGGCAACTCCCCGCGAGGCAGTGCGAGAGCGGCGGACGTGCTACGACCTGCGACATGCGGCGCCTGGAACCTGCGACTTGGGACCTGACCGGTTGAGACGTGGTTTTGGGCCGGGAAGCTGCGAGACGCGTCCATACGCCCAAAGTATCGTGAACTTTTTCCCTTTTCTCTTTTTGGCTGCTACCAAGTTCCATGATTCCTTCCACCACCACCAACACCACCAATCCTTGTTTGCCCTTGCCAAGTAAACCAATTGACCACTAGATCAACTCACGCCACGATCCTTCCTTACTTGCCAGTGTCCACGAATGTCTTACCTAAACCTCCTTCCCTACCGTCCCGTCGTTCCGTCCTTCCCAATGGAAAGCTCCAACACTCATAATAAACGGGAGCTCCCTTCCTTCCCTCCCGCGCCTTCTTCAAGGTTCCAAGCTCCTCCCCTCTGCCATACTTACCTTAAGGTAGTGTCCTCCTCCCCGCGACTTTCTTCCTCCCCTCCCTTCCCATCTACCAACTTCTCACATACAACACACCAAGTCCAACCGACCCCGAATTACGAGACGTACTTCCCGATCCAGACTTACAACCAGACGATCAGGAGTCAATCACCACCCTCCCGCTCGTCCCACGTCATCTACCCCACCATAGCTCCTCTCATCGTTGCTTTTGCCCAAACTTGGGCGCCTCGAATTCCGCCAGCCCTCTGCCAGATTTGATCGTCAACTCCGCATCTGCCAGAGACAGCTAGCTTCATCTGCTCGATCCAGGTCGCCGCTCAACAAAAACTAATTCCGTGACATCATCCGGCTGAAGTCAATTGCAAAAGTCAACGGTTCTCCAAAACCGAAACAAACGCCATCATTGTTTCGCTTTCACACTTTTATTCCTTCCGAAGGGCACCTCGAATCGACTCTGACCGTCGTATTATTTCAGACGGCAACATTCACGTACATACACTTCAACACCGCGTGTAACACTTTCACACCCGCAGACACTCAAAATGTTCCGTCCTCTTAGCGCCCGACTGGCGCGGACCATTCGTCCCATCGCGAGACACACCCAGGTCCGCGGCAAATCCTCTCAGTCTTCCGCCTCTGCAGCTCAAGCTAGCATTGCAGCCACTAGCCCCAAGCAGCAGCAACAGTCTAGATCCATCAGCGGCAGCCCCAACGTCAGAGAGAAGCCTCACCCGGGCCAGTATTCGAGAACCGACCCCGATGTCACTGTCGAGTACCCTGAAGACGACCAGCTGCCTAGCAGTCAGCCGGTCCGCGGCCACGGTGGTGGCATTGGCAAGCCCACGCTTGCTTCCTTCTCTCTCGATGGCCACACCGGCGTCGTCACCGGCGGTGCGCGCGGCCTTGGCTTGGTTATGGGCCAAGGCATGGTCTACTCCGGCAGCGACCTTGCCATTGTCGACTTGAACAGTGAGTTTTCGAACTGATTGCCAGCAAGCTTCAGACTTCCGTGAGAGCAAAGTACTGACACCGAGACAGAGGAGGAGGCTGAGCTCCAAGCCAAGAACCTGCTTGAGGCATTCAGGAGAGAAAACCCAGAGGCCAAGAGGTATGCACTCGGATGACCCTATTGACCTCGAGAGGAAGTGACGGACGCCTAACAACGTATAATAGAGTTCCCAAGGTGACTGCGCACCACGCAGACGTCTCAGACCCCGCCTCTGTCGACGCCTGCATTGCTGAGATCCTCGCCGCTCACGGCAAGATTGACAACCTCGTCACGTCGGCCGGCTTCACCGAGAACTTCGACGCCATCAACTACCCAATTGAGCGCATGCGTAAGCTCTGGGGCGTCAACGTCGACGGCACGTACCTCTTCGCTATCGGAGTCGCCAAGCATCTCATGGAGCGCAAGTCTCCCGGAAGCATGGTCTTCATCGGCAGCATGTCTGGCTCCATTGTCAACATTCCCCAGCCTCAGGCGTAGGTTTCATCGAGTCTTGTTTCTTTCGAGGCATCAAATTCGCTAATACATGTTCAAACAGACCTTACAACGCCGCAAAGGCTGGTGTCCGTCACTTGGCTGCCTCTTTGGCTGTCGAGTGGGCTGGTGCGGGCATCCGTGTCAACTGTATCTCTCCCGGCTACATGCTCACAGCTCTGTAAGTCTACCGCCCAAATTCTTTGTGTCCGGGCAGCCAGTACTAACGCACATGTGCAGAACTGAGAAGATTCTCGACGACAACCCAGACCTCAAGCAGAAGTGGACTTCTCTGATCCCCCAGGGCAAGATGGGTCAGCCCAAGGACCTCATGGGACCCGTCACTTTCTTGCTGTCTGATGCCTCTCTCTACGTCACGGGTGCGGATCTCCGCGTTGATGGCGGTTACACCGTCACATGAGCCGCCACGAGTCCTCAATTTGAATTGGATTGAAGAAGGAGAGGAGGGAAGACGTCAAAAGTTTGCAATTCCACTAGAGTGATTGGCGTTTTTGCTGTGAGAACATAGAAGGTTGGTTTGTTGATACGTCGACAGATAGTAAAATTGATAATGATTAAACAATCCGTGATAAGATTCCGAAGAGGCTAACTAAGTCTCTATGGGGGTGGCATGTGAAAGGCGGCTAAGCTAGGTAGCTCTACACCGGTCAGCGTATTCGATGAGGCTCATTCGTCGGTACCGATCGAGGCATTCCACCACCCCGACATGCAGTGTTACGGGGCCCGCAGCATAGGGTCACCGGACTGGCCACCGACAGTTATCCGATCTCTCATATCAACGGGTCTCCCCTATCCTGAGCCGTCCCGTATCTAACACTTCTAGCCTTCTGTTTCTTACCCTCGTCTTGAGCCTTGTCTGAGGCCTCGTCTCGAGGGCCGGCCTGGGGTTCGGTACTCCCGACGCTCTGATTCTCAGTGAGATGACCATAAGAAATTACAGTACGTTGGCTTATATGATTCCTTGTGAGAGACTGTAGGGATCGGTAGACATGACGAATGCATGACAGCCGGAAGGAAGACTACATGGCGGCCGGCACTGGTCAGTGCTGCCCCTCCTACCTTACCTTCCGCCGTTGCTACCACACGCACAGTATAAGCACACACATGCACCGACACACCGAAAAATGACTGGAACATCTGCACGATCGAGGGTCCAACGCCGTGCCGTGCGTTTGCGGGGGGGAAGGGTAGGTATTGCACATGGGTAGGTAGACGGGGAGAGCGGTCGCTGGACCGGTCTTATTTGGCGTTTCGTGCACTGCCTGTCATGTAACCAGCATATGCTGTGCGACGGACGGCACCGGCGTGTTGGTGGGAACCGGGGAACGGTAAGGTCGGGCGTTCGGGGGGTCAAGAGTCTAGAACTTTGTTGTCTTGGAGGTTTTGAGCGACTTGCAGTAAGATTGTTTGGTTGGGCGGTGCGAGGGAGGGAGGTGCGTGTGGTAAGGTAGATAGGCGAAAAGGCGGAGGTTTCTGGCTGTATGTACGCCCCGTACTTATATGCAGGTAGGTAGGCATGTTGGCAGGCTGGCAGGCAGGCAGACCAGCATGTGTCTTGTCTAACCCCCGGCGAGAGACTTGTTTGCTGCTGTTGTCGTGTTCGCGGCTCTCGTGTTGGTGGGAGGTTTGAAGTTTTTTGTAGGCGTGGGAGCTAAACGACGGAAACCAGACGTTGGGAACTGGTGGTCAATGTCTAGCGGACATGTGACAAGCGGCTTAAAATACGGAGACTCTTTTCGGACCCGTTGAGGATTGAGTCTCACCTGACCTACCTATCCATATGGAAACGTGATACGGACTCATGGAGTATACAAGGAGCCGGATGTGATGAGAGGCAGGAAGACTATAGGAACTATCCCGCCGGCTCGGCAGACGGGGGGAATAACAGGGACAGGACTGAGCACCATGAGAAAGACATGGGAAGGAAAGCAAGTAATCTAGCAAGGGCTGCATGTGGCATGGGTAGAGAGTAGTATCAACGTTTGTGACGAGATTCTTGATTATTGAACCATCCTTCCGGTCGACATGGCACCTCGTTCATTAACCCAAGGAGTACCGTGCCAACGCTGACTGAATCACACCGAGGAAGCTCTCAACACTTTTTCACAGTACGGATACCTATTCAACTGAACGAACCGCGCGATGGAACCCAAGCTCTGGACCACAGCATGGGGAATATACAGGCCTCCAGGGGACTCAGGGTAGACGAGGATCCCGTAGCCTCCCCTGGTGCTTTTTCGAACCCGGCGCCGTTGTCAGCGCACGTGGGAGACGTGCCGGGGAGCGCGCATGTTGCGGAGGAGGAGGAGGAAGAAAGCCATGGTGAGGACCTCGAAGAGCGATAAGCATACTATAGGTATGGCTCTTTTGTTCACCTTATGCTCGCCACGTCCTTCTTGCCCCCCCCCCCCCCCCCTCCCTTGTCAAAACCCATCTGCCATCTCACCTGGGAGGGAGGTCGTCACAGTACCGGTAGTGTAAGATATGGTCGTGGATGCCGCCCATCCCGCTAGTGTGGGGGAAACCAGTCAACACTCTGGTTCATTGTCGTTATGGTGCTTGCCGGGCAGGTATCAAGTTTTCTCTCAAGCAAAATCTGCCACTACAAAGAGCAAGCCCGGGGGGGGGGGACTAGGCAGTACATTATTAATAGGGATCCAAGCGACATCACTGCGCAAGCCCTGTCAACTCCTTTTGTGCGCAAACTTGCGTGACAGGATTCCCAGGTAGTAAGGTAATTACAGACGTGGGGGGACGATGGGAAGAGTACACACAACTTACCTTACCTTAATAAGCGAGCGGCTTCCAACGGCTAATACAACCCACAACCGCGTTGCCCCCAAACCTCTGAGCTCCCTCCTCCCCCTCCAAGGTTGTGTATACCTACCCCGCACAGCTACCCCCCTGTCAACAGAGAAGCTCCAGGGTAGCTTCGACAGCTTCTGCTCCTCCTCCCACACTCACCACCGATTCCGACCTGTCGTTGCCCCTCGCGCTCGACACGGCAGGTCCGCGTGGCCAAGGCGTGGGGGGAGGGAAGTGGGGAGGCGGAGGGGGGGCCTAGGTGTACGGATACTTGTCACCTTCAACTCTCTCCAGTGATATCCGACGGACTGAGTGATCTTCACAGACAACCCCAGTCTTGCCACGGGGGAATCTTTGAGAAGAAGTCGCTTACCATCAAAAAAGCCTGCAGATCACTCTCACTCTCTCCTTGATAGGGGGATTGGAGCCTTGGAGGGGGCCCTCTCTCATCGTACACAAGCAAGAGACCCCTTATTTCGGATTGCGTAATGGCTTTCCAGGTTGCGATATCGACGCCATCTCACGCTTGCAAGTCGGACCCCCCCTCCCTTGTCCCAGACAATTGACCTCGTGATCACTTGCGATTTTGCTTTTTCCTCGTCTTTGGCCACATCCCCTCCTTTTTGACGGATCCTCTGTGGCCTACCCCTCACAACTAGGCAATTCACTACTACCTTTTGGTAGAGAGCTCACAGTCAAGAGACTACCTAGAGCCTGATCATCGAGTCAGATTCCCATCGGGGGACTGTACAATAGCCTTAGCTAGAATTACGACCGATGCTGTGGAGTCAGAGTAAGCCGAGTGAGCAAGTCCGGAGAGAAAGCAGTTTAGATCCTCCTTGGACCTAAGCTCGTCATCCCCTGTCATGTTTCAGCCCGGGCAATACGCACTCGTCTTTTTGATGGCCACATTGCCTTCACTCGCCTACCTATCTCTGTTTCTTAATGGATGATCTGGTCAGTTGGGTGGTTGGGTAACAAATATCTTCTCATTCAGAATGGCTCGCTAGTAAGAGCTCGGTGGGTCGCTGACAAAATGATGGCGCACCAAGAGCAAGCCGTTCGTCTTTCCTCTTTTCGAACTTCAAATGATCCCGCCGCTGCCCGTTGAACCGCTGTGAACGCATACAATGAACCCTTTTTGGTGGCAGTCCCCTCCTGTAATGCATGTCAGGCGTTTTCCCTGCGAAAGGGGCCCCGTGACCGCCGGTAATGAAAACGCCTCGTGCGATGCAAATGCGCCAAACCTTCTTCCTAAAGGCCGGCCTCGTCGAGCTGATGAAAAGAATAAAGGAAAAAAAGGCAATGAGGTCGGTATTGCCAGTGGCAGACGCAACTACCAGTAGCGGCAACCTCAGTCGAAAGCAAGACATCCACTTCCGAATGACTGCACCCGTTTTGTGTTCCATGAACTCCAGAAGCCCCTTTTAATGCAGTTGATACCTCGCGAATTAGTACATAGGATTGTATGTGAGTCATGAAAGTAGACTTTTTTTTCCTTTTGGCTGTCGGGATCACGACCTGTGTCTTGGCCTATCCCCAGTGCGCTCTTTCTCGCGCTCCAGCAGTAGCGTCAGCTGGCTTCTTGTTCTTGCTAGTGGCACATCGGGAGTAGAGCTTGGCATTGTCGGCGCGAAGTGCGATGAGGAGGAAATTCGGCGTGGGTTGCCCCTGGGTCCAGATTCGTCCTGAAAGCCTTCCAAGGTTTCCAGAGCGCGTCGATCCGGCTCACCAGATATCGTCACCTGCCCCATGGCTGCAATGTTCGACGTACTCGCGGTAGCGCTCGATATGAGCCCCTGCGCAGAACCACGACCAAAGCTAGCCTCCCTCGGTCGATAGGACTCGGAATTCGACGGTGCCCGCTCCATACGCGGCGCCGAAAAGCCGGAACGTGCTGAAGAGAATGACCCGATTCTTGGTGATGAGAGCGCGGGTGATGCGGCTGGTATATACGTAGGCGTCCTGGGACCACCGGCTTTGACCGTGCCAGCTTCGCGACTCGACCGGTCGGTTGCGGATTTGCTCAAGGGCTCTGGTGCTGGCGCGCGGTTTGCTGTTTGTACAAGCACCGGTTTCCGCCGTTCTTCAGTAGGTCGGGAATTACCCACCGATCTCGGAGATTCCGAAATAGATCTTTCGACTGGTCGTTTCCCCAGGGCTTTGGCGCTAGGTGGCGGCATTTCGAATCCCTCTGACCCGGATACGCTCAGGATAGCACTTTCTTCAGCATGAGGATGCATCACGTTATAAGTTCCCACGTGTTTGCCTCCGTTGGCAGAACCGGGCTCCTTGATCCCAACGTCGGAGTTTGTTGACGACTGCGAGCTCATTCTCCTTGGCAGAACCGGTCTTCTCTTACCCGACACTGATGCAACAAATCGTTTCGTTGGTGTTGAGGGCTTCTTTTTGCTCGATTTTGCTGGGGAGACTGTTGATGAAGTGCGCATTTCTAGGCCACTGGCGCCTGTGCTTCCCGACGACGTCTCATCACTAGTTTGGTAGTCTTCATCAGCAGACTCGTGAGGCGACACAAATCGGGCTGTCGGCCGAGGACCAGATTTCGAGTCACCCCTATGCTTCTTGAGAATCGGGTGTGGTGGCGGGGGTCGAGATGATGAGGCGGACAACTCCTTCAGAGCCGACTGTTCAGAGATCATCTTAATGTCTTGGTTCATTTGCTGAGCGCTGAGAACCGGATCAGACTCATGCTGGCTATTAAAACGAGGCGTCTGGGCATAACGTTAGCAAAGTGCCAATTCGTATCGAGCGAGGCATTTAAATACCGAAGGTCCCTCCCAGCGGTTCGGCGAGCCTTTGAGAGGCACAAAGGTTGGACCATAGGAGATGTGTTCCCATATCTTGGCCACGGTCGCAGCTTTCAATTTGCTTCTATCGCTGCCCATGACATGCCACCACAGATTTTCCAAGCGGCGTGCGGTTGGATCAACAAGTTTGAGATTTGTTGTGGTGTAGACTATGACGTGACGTTAGATTTTCATGTGAAAGCACACTCCGAGCGGCTGTTGACTTACGACGCCACATTCTTATGATGAAATCCGGCGGTAGAGGCTGCGTGAGCGCTGCAACATCTTCGTATATCCGCCTGTCGTCTTTGACGAGTCCCTTTGGCAAATCCATTTGAAGCGAATGTGTTCTTTACCGAGACCAGACGGTCAACGGCAAAGACGGCTGGAAACTAGAATGACAGAAGTAGAGGGTACGCGGAAGTAGCGCTGATTGGCAAAGATAGCCCCGCCGTGTAGGGCAATCTTGCTGAGTGCGATGTGAGTTTACCTGGAGCGAGGAGAGGTGGTCATGGTCGTTGCTCTACGATTCAGTCGGACGTGGTCGGGATGTGGTTTGCTCAGTGGCCGATTTGTAGGAACGCAAACAAAATGCAGAGAGCTGCAAGTGAGAGGCAATCTGCAACTTGGGTTGGCTATTTGGTTTGCGGTTGTCTGCGCGTGTGGCAGACAGCTGGTTTGTTGAGAAAGGCGGTGATGAGAAGTGTATCAAGAATTGGAGAGAGTGAAGAATGAAGCGGTAAGCCCCGGGCTGCTGTGGGTTGGTTGACCCTAAATGGCCGTTTTCATGGATTGCGGGTTTTGGTCGGGTTCGATTTGTCGTCGGGTTGTGGAGAGTGAGAGGGCATTAAGAGGAACAGAGTTAAGAGAGGACGGTACGGTATGGCGGAGTAGTTGTGATACGGGCAGTAGCCCATCCGTTTGTCAACGACAATGAGAGGTGTACGGAACGCGTGTATGGCTCCGGGAGGGATGCCGGTGGAAAAGAAAGACGAACCCAAACAGCCGTTGGATGACGATGACGAGATGAGACGACCGGTAAGATACGGGAGAATGAGGTACGGTGCCTTTGCTTTGAGCCTCCAAGTCCGGATGAGAGCGGGCAAGGTGAAGTGAAGTAGGGCCAAGGGCCCGGCAATAGAGACTGCAAGCCGTGGATGGTAACGCAGGCAAAGTTGAAGGAGAACTTTGCCAGGAAGCTAGGTCGACAGACAGAGGGAGCCACACGTATCGAATTCGTGTTCTCGGGGCAGCCCAATGGACTGTTTGTTCCGAGCAGAGCAACTGTGAGTCTATGGTCTAGGTCTCTGGCGAGCGTCAAGGCGTTTGTCTTGTTTTGTTGTTGATGCCGAATGAGAGAGAAAGAAATGGCACTGGTTGAGAGAAAGGTCGGAAAGCGGAGGAGGATGAGGGGAGATGGCGTGGATGGAGCACGCGCAAAGAAAAAAATTGGAATGCTTCCGACTCAGATGTGACTTCCAAAGTTGGGAAGGGCCAGTCGGGGGTTAAGGCATGGTAAACGTACCCTGGATGGCTGGAATTACGGTGCCGCGCCTTACATTGCCCTGAGAACAAAAGATAGGCGGACAGGCGGCAGAAGGGGGAAAAGGGGAGAGAAGGGGGCTTGCCAGGGAAGAGAGTCCAAAGACGGAGACGGCGAGGGAAGAAATGGGCCCTGGAAGGGGAACTTGAGAGGCTCTAAGCTCGAAGTACCTGGCCTGACTTGGACCACATTCACAGTCGCAGTGCCACGAGTGCCTATTCAGCGTGTCAGTGTGTGTGTGTGTGGGCGGTTCGGGGCCAGTACGGGAGGAGGTGTTATCGCATGTACCTGGCTTGGGGCTAGAATATTTGGTGGTACCAGTATCCGTAAAGTAGTGTATGTACTCCGTACGGGTAGGAGCTAAGGTAGGAAGACTGTCGGAAAGGACGCGTGAGGTGGGTGAGGTGAGGTGCCCTGGCTGGAAGAAAAGTCTGGGTGCCCGCTCTTAGCACTAGTCAAGAACATCAGGCGTCCACGGTTCAGGGCTGTGAGAGTGTGGTTCCCATCCCCCTACAAGTCTCCGTCCGACTCTGCTTGGGCTGGCGCTGGTGCTTGCGATGGCTCCGTCCCGACTGGCTCCTGTTGGGTCTGACACTGGCGGGGGTGGGAGGACTAAGAGCAAGGAGGAGAGTGACGAGCTCTTCTCTACTACTCCTATCTACATACTTACTGGGCAAGGTACAGAGACAGGTAGCAAGGTAAAGGGCTTATGGTTCATGGTTTAGTGTGATGCCTCATGTTCCCGACAACTCCCTGCTAAGGTACTGCCAGTTGCAGACTCGGACAACCTGGGCAAAGAGGCGTCTATTGCGTCCATTAAACCCTCGTGGAGCCAGCAGAGCACATGGAAGTCTAAGCTTTAGTGGGCCACAGGAACAGGCACTTCACTCCCAGTCCCCAGGAGCAAGTGAAGTTGGAGTTGGGCACTTAAGCATGGATCAGGACGGAGGGGGTCAAGCAGGAACAGGAACGCTGCATATGGCAAGTGAAGGATTGGCTCTGCATATACCTCACAGTATGTACTTTGCTCAGTTCCAAGTGGAGGCAGTAGTAAAGACAGGACAAGAGATGACTGCGTCTGGGCACTTGCTTTCCATCGAATAAGGTACTTAACATTGGATATTGGACATTGAGCAGAAGGGAAGGGCGCAACTGCCTCGGCACAACCACACAACTCAAGATAACCTCGAGCACGAACGGATGGAGGCACTTCAGACTCCCCTGCCATTGTTTCCGTTCATGCTACTCTCTCGGATGAAATATGAACTGCATGCATGGCCTGGGCCCTGGGCCTATACGGCGCAGAGTGTAGCTTTTTGCGTGCGGAGCCTCTGTTGTACCTGTAGATAGGCTTTGGACTGGAGAGTACTAAGAATGGTACCTTGACATATACTTCATATCAACAGCCATTGTAAGATAGTCTTTAAGGGGGCCGAGACACTGCGACTGGACTCACTGGCGGGGGTCTTTTTTTTTTTTTTTAGACGAGGTGACAGGCAGCGGGACATTACCTGCATGCTGGGATTTTTCTGTGATTTCCCAAGTGGACTCGATGGTTGATTGCTATTCCCCCCTTGTTCCATTTTTCTTCTGTCGAAATACCGTTTGGAAAAGTGTCACTGGGTATAGATACCTCATACTGTATCGGTACGGACGATGCTCTAGGTCCTCGTAGAACCCGGTACAACTGCTGGGAGGGGTGCAGGGCGAGGTGGGAAAACGGCAAAACGGGAACAAACGGCGCATTCCAGTACACTTCAACCCACCTCAACCCAAGGTACCTTGATCTTGAAATAGAAGTAAGGTCGGTGAAAGACCGCCACCGGGGGATGTGCACTGATGGAGCATAGGGAGGTAAAGATAAGCTACACGAGGCTCCTTACGCACCATTCAGGTGTGACTTGGGCCTGCTCCGTATGCTCCTACTGACTGCTGTCCATGGGCTGTTGCTTCTCTGTGTGTACGAAGTATGTCTGTCCGTCGTCCGCCTTCCTACCTTAGTTCACGGCCTCACCGTCGTAGATGGAGGTTACCTGACGTTAGTTTCGTTCCGCAATCAAGGTGTCCGTAGGTACCCAAGGTAGGGAGGGTCCTCAGCACATTGGGTACTTGAGCTTGTGTCAACTTTTGCCGGCGGTGCAGTGTGAGAAAACCTTGACCAAAAGTACCTCCTCGAAACAGCAACCACAACCAGAGCAACCACCACAGTTACCAGCACCTCCCTTTTCTGCATGTGCTTTTCTCTCCTCTCCCTCTCCCCTTCTCCTCTTGTCCGCACTTCATGCGCGTTCAAGAGCTTAAAAAAGTCGACACATCAACATCAGGGATCGGGCACATGCCTCGGTCCATCAGGCTCTAGACCAAGACATCTGTTTCTCTATCAACTTCTCCATCTGCCATCCACGAGATCACATATCTCATCGTCTTCGGGCCCACCCATGTTTCCGCCGCACACCCGCCTGTGACGAGACTGGGACTGTCTGCACCGTCCCGACTACGACCAGCAACCTGCGCCTGTTTTATTTCCGTCAAGCTGCTTGGACCGCACACACCCAGTCTCGTCTTCCCAGCAAGTACTGGCGACGCAGCTTGGCCACTGTATCCGTACAAGAGCGATCTGGACGGCATTACTGCGTATGGACAGTATCGGACACGGCCTTCGATAACCACGTTTCCGGCGACTGGCAGATGATATTCACGAGGCGCCATCTGAGCGACCTCGCCCTCACTGCGAGGCAACACTCACCGGACACAGCTCGCCACCATAATCCATCACTTTGAGTGACGAACCGACTAGACATGCAGCAGTCACCTTACAGTGTGTATTGAGCTCTCTTGACACCTACTGTCCACAAATACACCCTCGTAGTAGGGCACTGGCGCATCGCACCGGGATTAAACCGCGAAAATAACCCCAGCAAGGATGCGGCCCCCACGTCCCCAGAAAATGGCGTTCTAGAACAAATTGGTGTGTGCCTTGGCTTGGTGAGTTGGTCCGCCTCTGGTGGTGTTCGCCCCTGGGAGTTGGGAACCGGCAACCATCCACCTGCCACACCCAAACCCCAGCCCTGGCCCAGCTTAATTGCCAGTTGCGCTACTCATTGATTGCCTGTTCTCTAATTCTGAATTGACAGATAGGAACCGGCCGAGTCCAACAGCCATTCGTGCGGGTGTCACAAGAGCCCCAAAATCACCCCCTGGCCACGGCTTTTTACGGCTTGCGACAGCCAGGCAGAAAGAGAGACGATGCTTACGGATACCTTGGCCCGGGACGGAGGTCGACATGCTGGTGTCGGTGATTTGGGGGCTATGTATCCGTAGCACTGCCCTGAATGTGCTGTCTCAACTGCGTCTTCCGGTCAACCTTCCATCCCGAAGCAAGCCCGCCGGCCATCTTGTTGGGACGATTTCCGGCCGCCGTCTCGATTTGGTGTGCCTCACTTGGCTTTCTATACCCTGTATCCCAGTCTGCCAGGGCATTGACAAGGGACGATTATCCCCAGCAAAGTTACCATAGAGCTGTCTGGTGCCACAGCAATCCATCATTTCGGTCGCGTGCGAGCCGGCGCATCTCCCACTGGTCCAAACCTCGCGCTGGCCGAGACAATGTGCACCAAACTCCAGGGTATCAGTCATGGTTCTTCGACGTTTGAGGCGAACCGTTCACCGATAAGTCCTCGGTGTTCTCACCGCTCGCTACCTTGTCATCAGCCATGAGTCGATATTTCTGACAACTGGCGGGACTCTGGAGCGGCTTCCGGCGCAAGGTCCATCTTTGCGGAGGATCGAAAGTGTGTAGGTGACAAAGGGGAGAGAAGTGAAAAAAATCGTTTGCAGCGAGCTCCATTCGCCCGCATTTTGGGCCTCTCTGCGAAAATTCAATTACCAGACTACATATGCAAAAAGACTTGTCGTGGTAATCACTTTGCAGCCCCTTATTGTGCCTCGCTGCCCGAGTAGCTAAGACAAAAAGTCTGGGGAACCAATATCGGACCGGGCAGCTTGCTTTTCCCGACCTCGCGGTCCCGTTCCGTTCCCCAACTTCCCCTTGTCCCCGTGGTCTTCTGATCTCATTCAATGCGGGGGAGCATCCGAGAACCACGTCGTGTGACCAGGTGCCGCGACCTTGCGACACCACAGCTCCTCCCCAGAACAACCATACATGGAGCCATTGGCTAATCACTTGATGAAGAGTCCGAACACAACCGCCAACCGCTGCTACTTTCGGGGGAGTGGAAACGCTGTTCCCGTCTCACTCACACGCGACACCATGGTGGAGGACGAAGATCACCTCTTCTGTCGCCTCATTTCCCCGTCTGGCAAGCCCATCCCATGTTGGTCGTTTCGTGGGAAGACATTGACCCAGCCAAAGACGAACTTTTGCACCACCGAATGAGGTAAAAAATGACAACAGCCGAAGTTCCCTGACACCATTGTCAAATAGTAGCATTGCGCTACGTAACGCTAACGAAGTCGAATTTCAACACGCCCGCCTGATGCAGGCACAGCGTTGGGACACATAGTCTCTTTTCTCCGCCTTTTTCCAGCCGACGGACGATACGCGATGGCATGAAAGGCCAAGTCAACTTCGTAGTCAGGCGGGCCCCATTCAACGACGTGTAATTGAGTGGGACGATGGTTTAAATCACTGCGCCAATGACTACTCCCGAAGCCGCTCACCGACTGTAAAGCTAACACTTCACCGATGAGGGGGGTGAGCCATGAATCGTCAAGGCCCGCTTGGACTCTGGGGTATCGTCCGCCATGACGTTGTTTGGATTCCTTCTCGAAGCACTCGTCTGACAGGGGGGACGGACGGGGGTTTAGGGCGATGGAAATGTTACAATGCTATTGTGCGCAGCAATCTCTCTCGCAAGCGCGAGCCCCCGAAGGCCGTTGATGACGGACCGTTTTCTAGCGCGTCTGTCAAGAACGGTCTTCTCTTCATGGCCCATGGGGAAATAAAGGTTCCAGGCAGCTACGGATGTCTTTGCTTCTGGTTGGGAACTTTGGGCTCGGCTTCCTCAGTAGGGACCGAGTCCGCAACGTACCTTTTGTGCGTTCCGGATCGATCGACGCACCACCGGCAAGTGTCTTCGGGAAGGGGGGAGAGGCGAGGAGGAAGATGAGCCGAACGAGTGCTTTGCATCCTCGGCTTCTCGAATGCCACTTGCCTCGTGGGAGATTCTTTTCCCAGGTGGGCTCTCTTCCGAAGCTCTCGCTCTCTGCCGAAGTTCTCGGACGGGTGTCAGCTGAGCAGTTGGCAGAGCGGAGAGGACCTGAGTCTTACGCTCTACGACCGAGGAGATGGAGGGGCACCCGTAAGATTGAGAAAGGTCCACGCTCGACGTTGAGGTCGCAGTTCCTACGGCCGAGGCATCGTGGTAGGAGGGTGGGTGTGAGCTCCAAACTCAGCTCTTCCGCTTGGACCTCGGGGGAAAGGAGGCAGAAGACTGACCAACGAGAACGGTGAGACTTGGACTAATGGCCGTTTACCACATGGATAGCTGCCATCTGGGCAGTACTGCTAGGATCCCGTTTCGTCGCTCTCTTGTTACTCTTTTGGAATTCGAGCTCTGGTCAGGTTGGGGAAAGGGAAAGATAACATGACCGAAACACCAGGAGTCATCGAATTCCAACATCACGTCTGGGAATCTAGTATGCCGGATCTTTCCTCGTTCCAGTGAAGGGGCTGTCGAGTAGAACCTGGCCTGCTATTTTCCCCTTGGATATGGAGACACCAATCTGTATCGATACATCATGCAAACTCTCATCCATGCTTGACGAAGATGCGTCGCCGCCAGGAACGGGGGCTGGGGAGGCATCCGATTTCTTATTTCCAACTAGATGACAACACCTAGGTAGCTCTCGTGTGGGCTTGGGCGGAAGTGCCATTGACTTGATGTTGAATATATTCCGTTGGCATTCAACTCGGGGGTGCCCATCACAACACCCCTCATCACAGCACGTTACGTGGAACAAAACGGATCACCGCCTCCAGACAAGATCATGTTGTGATGAGAAAACACACATCTCTGCATTCGAACCATACCCCGTAGTTACTGTTTGGTATCATAATAGACAAAAAAAAACTACCAAAAAGA